GACGCTCCTCTTACCGGGCTGCTGGTCAACTCTTTATCTTTGTCTCCTGTCACCTACCGATTTCTGTGAGGCTGTGCCAGGCTAGCTGTAAACACTGACCCGAAGACAGGTAAATATTCAGACCCGTCACCATTCTTGAAGCACTTACATCCTTGTGCACAGAAACTGTTAGGCTGGGGAAGTGCCCCAGTCCATAAAAACACTTGCTGTGCAGACAGAAGGACCTGGATTGGATTCCCCATCACCCATATCAAAAGCTGGGCCCGGTGACACACATTGTCAATACAGGTGCTTGTGGGATGAAGACAGGGGATCCAGAAGGTCCTAGCCTGACGGCCTCAAGCCAAAGGCAAACTTGCCTCAACAAAACAAGGTGTGGCCCGTGAGGGGTGACGTCTGAGCTTGTCTGACTTCTGACCTCCACACACGCCTGTACACTTGTGCATGTAGCTTCCTCACACATGTACCTCACCCCTCCACCCCCACAGATGACATGTTCATGACCCCTAAAGTTCCAACACGTTGCTTTATTCTGGTTTGTCAGGAGAACCTGGAGTGTGTATGGGGTGGGGGGAGGTCGGTCACTGCTTTTTTCTTCTCATTGTCATAAAGAGTCAGAGCTTGAGGTGAGATATTTTTGTTGGACTCTGGCCTATACCAGGATGATTCTCCTGCTTCAACACTACACTGATAAGCTAGTTTGCAAACTTGCAGATGCCTGCAGTTCTGTTCGTGGCACGGAGCCACCTAAAATCCCGTAGGCCCTGAGGCATTCCGATGCCCTGATGAGGAAATGTTCAGGAAAGGAATGGAAAAACAACTGAGCAGCTTAAATAAGATAAAAGCGTCAGGAGTTCTTTCCAAGGAGATAAAGTTCTCCTCTGGGATTTACACAGGGCCTGGCTCTGAGCCCTGACCCACTGCCCTGCCTTTTGGAGAGGCTGAAATCCACACCTCACTTGACAGGATGGAATGAATACTGTGGAAACCAGCCCCAGCAATGGGATCATGGGAGCAGAGTGTGAGCCTTGTTCAGACCTCCCTGTCCCCAATGTGTCCCCTGTGTGTGTGTGTGTGTGCGCGTGCGCACGCAGGTGTAAGTATACAGTATGTGAGTGTGGCCAGAGGTGAACCTGCAGTGTCTCCTTCCTGGGGCGTTTTGTTTTTAACTCCTGTATAGGCAAGGAGGAGAAAGAGCTGAGAATGGCTGCTCTTTGGACAGCTGACTGGTTCAGTCCTGGGTGGGCGTGACTTCCCCACTTCTGCACCTTCTACGTAAGCCTGGTGGTGCAGTTCTGGACCCTCTAGAATCTACACTGAAGAGTAGATCTCCTGTCATTCAGGAAGGAGGTGGTGGTGAGGGAATGAGAAGTATAAACTCGTGTAGGGTTGGCAGGAAAAGTTGACTGAGTTCAGTCTTCACGCGGTTTCAGTTAGTACCTTTGGTTTTAGCACCAACCTCACTCCTTCTCTGTGCTGTTCTGACATTCCAAATCTGGGTCTTTCTAGGGTCCACAAGGTCACAGCTGAGGTTTTTCAACAACGCCTTCCCTCCCAGGCCCTTCTGCTCATAATTCATCTCATCTATCATGTCTGTCCTCTTGCTCTCTGTCTTTAAAAACCTCTCTAAGTCTGTGGATAGCGATGGATTAAGCCCTGGAATCTTATCTCCTAGATACAAATTAAGGAGTGAGAAAGGATGAGCTACAGGGGAGGGGGGAGACAGGATGGGACACCTTGTGTTTTTGAGAATGGGTCTCTTGCTAGCTTACCACTCAGGCCATCCCAGGGATCTTTGTGTCCCTGGCCCCACCCTTAAAATACAAGTTCACTTACTACTGTGTCCGGCTTTGACTTTTAAACGTGCTTTTATTTCTTCTTTGAGAAATGCTTACATGTGTACACTGTATTTTGATTGTGTACAACTTTATGTTCTTTTTTTTATAAGCCCCCAGTTCAGCTAGTGCTGCCTGTATGTGTGCAGAGCGTGAACCCATCCACCTGGAGAATGCCCTGAAAAACAAAACAACAACCACAGAAAACTAACTCCCCCTCCCCCAGCAGCCTTCAACTGCTACTTGCTCCTCAGCTAGGGGCAGGGCCTCCTGAGCCCCTCCCCAACCTCTGCTGCAGAGCTGCCTGGCTTGGTCTTGTGTAGGTTTTGTTCACACAGCCACAGAGGCCATAAAGGTCCAGAAGGTGCTGTTTTTGCAGCAGTCCTCTGCAAACGCTGTCTCTGTCAGTCTTTCAGCCCATCTTTTCCCCATGTTTATTGAGCCCTGGGGGTTGAGGGGGATGGTGCAGATGCTCCATTTAGGGTTGCAAAATGAAGCTTTGTTCAGCCATCTAAGTAGGTTCTGGGGGTCCATGATTTTGCCCAGCCCTGCTGGAAAGAGATGAAAGTGTTCTGAGCACCTGAAAGATACAGTAGGCTCAGCTGAGTTTGAGACCAGGTGTCTAAAACACGCCTGTGCTTGAGTGCACGTGCTGTGGTAACAAAGGAATGGAGAGAACATCAGTAGGTTTGATGGAAGGAAGTGAGACCAGCTGCCCTTCAGAATGAGTTTCATGAGAAGCTCTTTGCAACCAAGGGGCCACGGTGAGGCCTTGATGTGGGAGAGACTATTGACCACTATGAGAGACAGCTTAAGATAAAAGAAAGGGTAAGAAAGACACCTGTCATGGAAGACATGATGGGGGCTTGAAAGAGACAGAAAAGGGAGAGGGGAAAAAAAGAGAGAGATGGAGAGAGAAGTACCTCACATAAATCCTTCCCAGAGCTAAGGGGATACATGACTTTTGTAAGGTTTTAGGGACTATCAGGGGTTTTACACCATGCAACCCCTGGCAAATATAGAGCCAGGTACTTGATGGGACCATAAATTTATCTTGTGGCCACTAAAGGGAGAAGCTTCAAGGCCACAGCACAGTTTCTTAACTCTTTGTCTCAGAGGAAAGAAGAGAAGCTATGTGGGGCATGGCCTAATTTCTGAGGTGGGGGGGAAGACGTGATGGTAAGTCATTTAAAGTGCCTCTGATATCACATGTGTTCACACACATACTTGCATGCATACATGCTTTCTCTGTGTGCTTGTGTACATGTGTTTGGAGACCAGAGGACAATGTTGAGTGTTGTCCATTGGTTGCTGGCCAAGTTGCTTTTTTTGGAGACACAGTTTCTTATTAGCTTGGGGTCCATCCAAGTAGGCTAAGGTTGGTGGCGAGCAAGCTCACCTCTGCCTTGCCCATCCCTAGGGTTATAAATGTATGCCATCATGTGTGGATTTTTTAAATGTGAGTTGTGGGGAATGAACTCAGGTATTCATGCCTGCAGGACAAGCACTTTACTAACTTGTGGGATTCTCCTGGACAAGGTTGACATATCTGAATAGCCAGACTGAGCTTGCTCTATTACCGTGGACTCCCTTTCCTCAGCAGGTTCTGTAGCCTTCCCCAACCCCATCTGAGACAGATCACAGGCCTGACCCTTTCCTGATAAGAAGACCCGGTTCAACAAAGGATTCCTGGAGATACCCACCAAGATGCCTTGGTGTCTTGACTTTCCAAGTGACCTTTGACTTTACCTGGAGATTTTCTCTCACCCATAGGATAATTAAATACTGTGTTCTCCTTCTTGTGATAGGACCATGCTACTGCATATAAAATGAGGCCCTGTACCACTACATGTAAATCAAGTATTCCTGACCCTTTGACCTCTTTTAATCAAACACATTCACTCTCTAAACCCTTCCCTCTGCCCAAGGTTTATATTGCCCTTTATTTCACACAAATAGAGGCATGCGCTCTCTCTCTTCAAGACTGTCTTGGACTCCTTTATTGGGAGAAGGATCACTGCTGGACACTGACCCACTGAAAAATTCAGTGGCGCTGTGCATGTATTTCCAGCATCACCTCCTGCAGGCATGATGCATCACTTTCGAACACTGCTGAAGGCAAGATAAAAAGCTTCTCCCTGATTTATGGAGTGTGTGTGTTTGCCTGCATGTTCACACATGCTCACACGTGTGTATGCATTATTTCATTTATTTACTTTGATCTTTGGCATGGCCCACTGGCTTCTGTAGTCGCCAGAGAGAGAGACAGCGCCTTTCTTGGAGGTCCCTGGCTGAGCCATCTTCAGTGAGCCAGCCCTGCAGCTTGAGTCATCTCTGCTGCTGTTTGAACTGATCCACAGTTGGGCATTGGGCTGTCCTGGTAGATTTTCGGGCACTGGACAGATAATGAGATTGAGAGGAGGAGAAGACATACATATGAACACAGGTCACTGCTTCTCAAAGTGCCTCTGAGCCTGCTAGGGAAAGGAAAGACAGATGACCAGACAGGAAAGTCAGCTCTCTTGGAGGCCCAGGGGGCTCTAGGACCATCCTATGCAGGGAGGGATATGTTGGTGCTGGCGTGGGTGTCTCTTCTGTGCCTACTGAACAACCACTTGTGCTCACATGCATGAAGACAAAGCCCTGAGCCAAGTGCACTGAAAAGCTGGAACTGACGTCACCATAGAGAAGGAAATTAGAAGTCCTTCAGTGTTTCCTAGACACACTCAGGAACACATGTAATAAGAGAGAACTGACGCCTTTAAGTGTTCCTCTGGCTGACACACGTGTACAACAGCTCCACACACACACAATAAATATTAAGAAAACCCACAAATATTCTGCAAAGACACGGTTCGTCTCTGGCTAAGCCCATTTGAAAATATAACATTTCTTAGCTCCTTCCCTCAGGAACCACAGTCTACCTGGCCTTGTAGAGACATTGAGGTCAATTCAGCTTTGCTCATTGATACCTGACTATGCCTTTTGTTTGTTCTGTTCTACGGTTATTTTTCGAGGCTGTTGTTGTGTGGCTCAGCCTCAGGGCAGATACAGCAGCAGCCCCGTCCATAGGTGCTTTCTGAAGTTTCTAATTACTCTTGCTAATTACTCATGGCCAACTGTCAGCTGAGAAAGTTAAATAAAGAATTCCGGAAAGAAACAATCCATAGTTTCAAGAATCTTTTATTACAGCTTAGTTATAATTATGCCATTTTACTGTTACTGCAGTTAATTTCTTACTGTGCCTAATTTATAAATTAAATCTTAACATAAGTGTGTGAGAAAAAGCTAAATACAAGAAGTTCAGTACTGCCTTGGGTTCAAGGGTTTTAGACCAGGCTTCTCTGGATGAATGGGTGACAGCTGTAGTTAGCGTTTTACTTCATAGATGACAACACAGATATCCTCTAATCTGGGGTTGGCCAGCACTTGACAATGATAGCATCTTGTTATAATTAAATTCCTGCTTCTCTTCCCCACAACATTCCCAGGACGTCATGCTACCTTGGCTGGCGGCCAGGCTTGACTGAGCCTGTATCCTCATTAGTCTCCTGGGGAACATGATGTGGGTCTTTTTTTCCCCTCTAGCTCCTAGGTAGAGATAGCACAGTTGAGGGGGCTCCTGAGAGAACCCGAGTACTGCAAGGGGAAGTCTTTAAACTCAGCAATGCTGGCCTTAGAGTGTCTGCAGAGCCACTGGCAATCTTACCCGGAAGGGGTCGGTTAATTAGTTCATTTTCTTCCTGTTATTCGTTTTAAATTAGTGACTGCCCAGGAGGTTTTTAGAGGTTGGTGCAAAGATGAATTCTCATTAGCCGACACAGGCAAGCGATGCATCTGGTCTGTTAGTGACGCTAGAACACAGCGCTTGCCTAGTGTCGTATAACTCTGTTCCTGCTGGGAGTTAGGAACCAGAGGTAACACAATTTAGCATTATTTTGGCTTGAAGAAATGCCAGCATTAAGGCCGGAGAGGTTAAATGCATGGCTTAAGGTCCTAGGACCAGTACAGAGGAGCTAGGACCTAAGCCCAGGACTGGAGATCTGCAATCTCTTCTTACACAAGAACATTTTCTTTGGGACTGTGGCATGATGGAGCTCATGGTTGCTGAACACAACTAACTCTCCTTTTCTAATATTTTTATTAAGAATTTAGTGCTTCAGCCAGTGGCCAGATGGCTATGTTTCCTTCTTCCATATGTTTCATATGGCTGGTGCTAGTGAGGGGAAAGGTTACTCTCTCCTGTTCTCTTGCCAGAACTGGACAGGTCTCACCCCACGCACACAGACACAATGTCGCACCAGCCATGGGTGGCATGTACTTTTTCCCAGACACTTAGAGTAGTGTCGTCTGATACAGGATGCTCAGTTACATTTCAGATTTATTTGTAATCATTTTGAGCTGGGTTGATGGGAGACGAAGGTGCCTTTTAGTTCTGGCACTTGCTGTTCCCCCCAAATGTTGACTGACATCTGTTGCCATCATACCCAGTCAGCTTACAGATGCCCTACCTCTCTACTCCCACTCCTAGGTCCGACCGCCCCATGCACACTGAGGAGGACTCTCGTGCTGGTGAGAGACGACACCCGCATTGCCCAGGAGGTTCAGCATATCCAGATGTTCTCTCTTCCTTGCAGAGTCAGTGCCAGCCTCCGGGTGGCCACTGAGTCCCTGGAAGAGCTGCTCCTGGCAGGCACCCAGTGTTCTGCTCCCCAGGAGTCTTGGGGTGCCTCTGAGGACCTCCTGGTGCTGATAATGGTGGCACACAGTGGGGGTACTGTCTCTCCTGCAGCCAGAAGCATCCTGCAGGAACATGAAGTCTTCTACCCCTCAGATAAAGTACTCCTTGCTGCTGTCCCCAGCGTCCTGGAGGGCAGGGTCACTCTGCAGGGCTGCATCCGCACTCTCTGCAAACTCTGTGCCTTTGGCCTCGTTGGTGTGGTAGGTGCCCTTGTGTCGGTACAGGTAGCGAAGCATGAGAAAGAGGAGGCAGACCAGGACCAAGGCCACAGCGGTGATCACAGCTGCAAGAGAGAGGCAGGACGCAGGTCAGCCTGGGGCAGGGTTGCATTATGAGATCTTCCTCTGGGCAGAGCATCATGCAGTCTTGGAGTAGAGTACTCCTGGGCAAGGCCAGGTAGCCATGGCCAATCAGCAAAAAAGTACAGGGATATCTAGGTCTATGGAACTGCTGACTTTTCCTGGTTGAGACGGGGAGAGAGGATCACAAGACTTTCACTGGGGGTAAAGAATTTCTATTGACTATCTTATGTCTATGCATGACGGAACATGCATATGATTGAAATCAGATGCATCACAGGGAAGGACATGCCTAGTACACGAAGGCTCACATAACCAGCGCCCGTCACTTAACACGAAAAATCCACCCAATTACTGCCCAAATGTAAGCTGAACAGGGATGACACCAATGAACTTGCCAAACTTGACTAAAAGAAGATTTCCGTGAGGCCTCAACCCCACACAAAAATCTATAGGCAACTGAAGAAAGTCAGGAGTGGGAGAGTTGGCCTTCGGGGAAGAGTACGACAACTGGCCGACTAGTGCCAGACATCCCTGCAAACATGCACGCCGGTAGCATTATATGGACCAAACAGGTTATATTTAGAAATATGTATGTATATGGAAATGTACATATGCATGAAATGAAAGTTAGTAAAAATAGGAGCCATGAGTTTAAAGGATAGCGAACAAGAGGGGTATATAGAAGGGTTTGGAGGGGGAAAAGGGGAGAGGAAAATGTTGTAGTTAAATTATAATCTCAAAAAAAAAAATAAATTCATCCACTCGACATCCCTAGCACCCAATTCCTCTTCCTCCTATATCCACAGAAGGAAGAGTCTAGCAGCAGCCAGGCACTCTTGTGTAAATACTGCCCAGGGCCAACTGTTCTCTCATGGCATTCATACTCTTTCGCTTTGCCTTGGAATGAAAAAAGCCCTTGTTGCTTTGCTGTTTGTGGGTGATTATTCAGTTCTTCAAACAAAAACCTGGAAATGCCCTGTCTCTACAGAGACCAGCAGTCACACAAGTACCTGTATTGTTTTGAAGCTGAAGGGCTCACAGAATGTAGGACTTCACTTTTTCAGGCAATGTTGTAATTAAATTATAATTTCTGTGCCCAAATGACAAAAGGCCCAGAAAACTAGGAAGAACTGGTTGTCCACATGGTGAAAAGACAAGGGTGACTGGGTATGCTACGATACGAGTGGGAGAGGGGCTTTTTGGAGAGCCACCTCTATCCAGCCTCCACCATTTATTCTTTGGGGGTGGGCGGTGGAGGGGGAGGATCCCTAGGTCCCCAGGAAGAGGTAGGCTTGGCCATTCAGTGGGCTATGTGCCCAGGTTCTTGCCAAGGATTTGTTAGGTCCCAGGAATCAGAGAAATAGAGCAGAAGGTGGGATTGGAAGAGTCAAGACTCTTGGTCTGGAGAGGGAAATTCAGAAGGTTCAGCAGCAATAATCCCGTGGGAGGTGTTTCAAGTTCAGCCACTAGGTTTGCAGCTGTAGAGTCAAGCTATGCTTACTTAGCATGCAGGGTCACTAGAGAAACAACGGTGGGAAGGTAGCTTCCGTGCCTCCCTTGTACAGAACAATTTCCTAAGCGCCCTACGACTGTGACAGGAACATGTGTGCCTGTTGATAATACTTCCTGAGAGAAGCAAGGGCTCAGGGCCCAAATGAGTGAGAGAAGGGTCATCTGAGTGAGATCGACAGGTGTCTCTGACGGCTTCCTGTTGCTCCTTTATTTTTAGCTGAAGATGATCTCTGAGCTATGCATCAGTGAGTGGGAAGACTGGATCACAAGACAGGGAGAAGAGCAAGACACCTCCCAGGCTTGGTTGCTCTTGATCCACAAGAGGGAAGCTCCTTAGGGTCCAACTTTTAGGATGGAGGTGTGAGCCAGGGTAGGGACCACCATATGAGGCAAGGGAGCTGTGAAGTCCCAGAGGTCTGGGTTAGCTTATCTACTTGTACCCCAAGCCTGCTCTACACAGTTAGGTCACAGATTGGTTAGCTGCTGCTCTCCTGTTTCTGAAAATCAGGCAGCTCTCCTGTTGTCTCTCCCAAATCCGGCCATGGAGAGTGGCTGAGACCCTGCCGTTCTCACAAGCAGTTGAATCTCTCCCTCCCTTTTCATCTGGGAGCAAGGCTAGCCGGTGCCTAGAACTCTCACAACCTTGGATTATAACCCTGCTCTTATCAAATACCTTCCTGCTTGGTGACTCCTAGCAGAGACTAGGTCATATGGGGTGGGACTTATCACTACCTCCTACCACCCCCCACAAACCACCCTACCACCCACCACCACCCACCACCACCCACAAACCACTCTACCACCTACCACCCCCCCCAAACTACCCACAAACCACCTACCACCACCCTAAACTATAAGAGTCAGAAACGGCCTTTGTTTTCTAGAACTGAAGGATCTCTCGCTTCAGAATCCCTCTCGTGCTATGCAGGGCATCTCTCTCCTACGTCAGGGCCTCATCATGGCTGCTGGTAACCATGGTTCTGTGACCCCCTGACCCCTGCAAAAGCTGTTCTGTAGGGACCTTGTCCCAATTTTCTTTTCTACTAATCTGATTTTTTAAATCATTTTTTAATCAATTTGTAACAAAGATGACTCATTCTCCAGCCTGAGCCACTGGGGTCAGAGAGAAAGGATGTCTTGACATGTGTGTCTAGCCCCTCTTGCCCTTACTCCACCAGGCACCATATGGGACACTATCTAACAGGACTGGAGTGTTCCTTTCCATTCTCAAGGCTCCCTCTGGGGGCAGTGAAATCGTTTTTCTTAACTTGGCATGAATCTATACACACCTCGGAGGAGGAGTCTCAGTGGAGGACTTGCCTTAACCAGACTGGCCTATGGACATATCTATGGAGCATTTTCTTGATTGCTGCTAATACTGTGGGTGGTTCTGTCCCATGGTAGGTGGGCCTGGGCTCTAGAAGAAACACAACCTTGGAAGCTGGAAGAAGGTGCTGGTCATGAGCTTTCATCCATGCTTCCTGCCTCGGCCCCTGCTTGAGTTCATACCCTGAATTTCCTCAACGATGGACTGTGACATGGAAAAATAAGCTAAATAAACTCTTTTTTTTTTCCTCCCCAGAGTTGCTGTTGGTCGAGGTGTTTACAGCATCAGAAGACAAATCAGAACAGGAGGGAAGCAGCCACGGCTGCCTCTCTTTCCACTCGGATCCTCGAGCCGGTTCTGCCTGGGACCTTTCTTGGCTGCTGGAAGGGCACTGCCGCACCAGCTCACCTGCAGTGATGGCAATCTCCATGATGCCGTAGGACGTCCCTGGGTGAGGCTCTGTGGACAAAAGCAGAAGCCCACGGTGAGAAAGGAGGCGCACGGTTGGAAGCCCCTCTGCCCGACCCCCGGCCACTGGTAAGCAGCCTGGTGAACTGCCAGTGAAGAGAACAGCATAGTGCACGTAGACTTCTGCCGACGGAGGCTCACACCCAGCTCTGCCTGCTTCCTGAACCAGGCCGAGAACAGCCCACGAAGCACAGGACACTCCAGAACCATGCCAGCTCCCCACTGAAGCCCAGTACCGAAGCCCATGCCAACGCCTTGTAGATTCTGGCTGTAGCGTAGACATCCCCTGTCCGTGGTATAATATGATCGCCATCTTGGAGCGGAAGCTACTTTGGCTAGGTATCCAGGGTAACTCTATGAGCAGAACAACACAGAGGTGGCTGTATTCATGTTAACGGCAATGGCGCTTTTGACATCCCCTAACAGGAGGGAGGGGGAAGCAGAGGTCTTAGGACCTTCGCCTGAGGTTGGAGCCATTACTCTCTTCTGGCTCCTCCCAGCTACGAGAGATCTTTGGAGACACTAGAGTACACAGGGCACAGAAGGTTAGCGACAAGATGATTTCATGATACAGCTTCTGTGAGTTCAGCCTACGAGATGAGATGTGGAAGCTTGTGGTGGTGCAACTGGTGTGTGTGTGTGTGTGTGTGTGTGTGTGTGTGTGTGTAGGTACGTGCCTGTGTACTGTGTGTGGAGGCCAGAGCTCACTCTGGATGACTTTGATTCTTAGTTTTGAGACTGCATCTCTGCCTCACAGAACCTGGAGCTCACCGGACCGGCGCTGACCACTCGGCTGCACGGTTCCTCCCCACTCTGCCCTCTGGTGTCAGGATTGCAGAAGCACCCCACCACACCTGTTTCACATGGCTTCTATGGGTGCAAACGCAAGTCCCCATGCTTGCACAGCAGGCGCTTGGCCAGCCAAGCCAGCTCCCCAGCCTCTGATGTGCTGATTTGGGGTTATCCACACTCCTGTGAGTAAGATTTCGCCCGTGCTCTAGGTGAGCCCCCCAAAGTTCCAGGTTGGCCAAGTTGGACTTTGATGTAACCATTACTTCGCCTGCCATCGGAGCCATGTCTAGGGCAAATGGACAATTGTTCATGTCCTCCGGGAAAATAAATGCAACACTACTGTACCAAGCACAGAGGCGCACACTGGCTAGACACTCGCTGGGTTATCTGTGGTGGAATGAAGCCTGCACCACTGTGTTTGACACGGGCCATTTGAAGGTCTGCTCATGCCAAGTGTGGCTTTGCTATTGCCTCACACCCACAACAGTCTTCCTGAGAGATGCGGCTGAATGCTGACGCTCAGGCAGGTGAGATGCCTGTGGCCACACAGCTCATTCAGCGGCAGGCTGGGGCTTCATTACTTATTTCAGGTGGCTTTCTTTCAACCTTTCCCTGAGCACTCTACTCTCCCCAAGCTTTGTATTAATTATAGTACAGTATAGTATAGCATAGTATACAGTTATTATTAACTGTAGTATAGTATGGTACACAATTAACTTGTATAGTCTTTGTATTAACTGTCCAGTGGGCAAGGCCCATCTTACGGAGCTAGCCAAGTTACTGAAGTTGCCGTGAGTACTTTTCTGCAGCTTTTAGATCTGGAGCAAGGGAACTTCCTTTAGTTGTACCTCTGATATCTCCTCTCCTCCACGACACAGTACAATGAGATCTTTCTCCCCAGGGCAGTTACCGTGCCTGTGCCTCGATCTGATAAGACACTGGCTGCTGGAGTCTGGAGGAGGCAGTGCTTAGGAGAGAGTCCGGAGATAGCAGCCTGGGGTCAGCAATGAACTCCAGTGTGGGAGCATAAAACCAGGCACCACAGATATTAAGTTAGCAGATGGACAGACACAGTAGGTACCCACCCAGGGAATAGGGCAGGGCTTACTGGAACCAGTATCTGGGCTCTATGTTTACTTCAAAGCTCCATCGCTCACAAGTGAGAAGAAGCAAGTTCAACTGGAGGCTTGTGGTTGAATACAGAGCACAGAGTAGGTTCTGAATAAATATCCACCCAACACATGAACAAATCTATCTACACACAAGTGAATGGCATTAGTAGCTGGATTTTGGACCATTCCTGACCACCAGTGCTTTATAGATTAGTAAGAAAGAGCAGCATTTGCTCAAGGCAGCACAGTTGGCTAAGAAGCTCAAAGACCCAGGGCATCTTCAACGCTAGGCAAATGCCCTAACACTGAGAGATGTCTCCTGGCTAACTTCCTCTTCTTTTAAGAAAGAATTAGGGGTCAGGTGTGGTGGCACACCTTCGATTGCAGCACCCTGGAAGCAGAGGCAGGTAACTCAGTGAGTTCAAGGCCCCACGTTTAAGGTCATCCAAAGTTGCATAGTGAGACTTGTCTCAAAAAGAAAAAAAAAAAAGAATTAGTAATTTTTTTTTTTCTGTGTACGAAGGGATCACTGTTCTCAGCACTTAGCAGGCTTTAACTCATGTCAGTCCCAGTGAGTTCTTATTACTTTCATTTAATGGATTTGGGAGTCTGCCCCCGCCCCCCCATGTGTGTCTACCCTGGGTCAAACAGCTTACTCATGAGAGGCAGAAGTCATTAATTTCAGGATGGCTCCGTGGCTAACAGTGCTTTGTGCATAAGCATAGGAACATGAGTTCAAATCCTCAGTACCTATTTGAAAAGCTGGGTACGGCTGTACGAACGTGTAACCCCAGTGCTAGGAGAGGGGTAGAAGCTGGAACATTGCTGGAATTTGCTGGCTACTAGCCTAGCCCCAGATTCAGTGAGAGATTCTGTCTCAAGAGAATAAGACAGGGATGTTTCAGGGTATTTGATCCCATTGTGAACCCTGAGATATTGTGAACTGTAAAAACCTATTTCTTGTATGGCATGGCTCAGCCCTAGCACATACCTTCAATCCAAGAGCTAAATAAAGTCAACCCTGGGTCAAGAGTCAGAGTAACCAACCAGCTGACAGGGATTAAACAGAAAGGAGGGGCACTGAGAGAAGGGAATTTAAAATTTAAGATAGTGAGGAGAAGAAGAAGGGACTTTCTGGCTTTTGGCTTTTAGCTTTGGTTTTTTTCCTCTGGGATATGAGCTGAGTAGGAAAGTCAGCTGGGTGCTTTCTCTGCCTCTCTGAGCTAGAAGACTTTCACCCCAATAGCTGGCTCCTGAGTCTTCATTGGTATAATTGGACAACTGGGAGTTTCTTTTTCTTTCTTTCTTTCTTTCTTTCTTTCTTTCTTTCTTTCTTTCTTTCTTTCTTTCTTTCTTTCTTTCTTTCTTTCTTTCTTTCTTTCTTTCCTTTTCTGTATTTAAAATAACGCAGTGATACAGCAGGAACCCAAAGACATGCTCTGGCCACACACACACACACACACACACACACACATACACACACACACACACACACACACACACACACACACACACTTTAGTCCCGGGAAAGCCTGGAGCCCATTGTAGGACACTGGCCAGTGGAAAGCCTTGGTATTTTGGTATTCTGGCTTTCAGATGAGGCATGTAGTGCTTTGAATGAGATGGTCCCTGTCTTAGGGTTTCTATCCCTGTAATAAGGCATCACAAGCAACTTGAGGAGGAAAGGGATTCTTTGGCTTCCACAGCGCTAGTCATAGTCCACTGAGGAAAGTCCAGGCGGGAACTCGAGACAGGTACCCGAGGAATACTGCTGAAAGAATACTGCTTACTGGCTTGCACATCATGGCTTTCTCAGCCTGCTTTCCTGTACAGTTCAGAGTCATCTGCCCAAAGGTGGCACTGAGGACAATGACTTAGACCCCTTCACATCAATTACTAATCAAGAAAATGTTCTACAGACTTGCCCACAGGAAATCTGATGGAGGTGTCTTGTCAGGTGGAGCTAGATCAACAGCCCACTGCTTGTGCTTGCCTACTCTAACTTGAGCAGTTTGGCACACCTGGGAGGTATTTTCTTAGTCAGATCAGGCAGGAAGACCCACATTAAATCTGCTCTACACGATATAGTGGCTGCCCAGACAAAAGGACACAGAAGAAGGAAACTAAGCCTTTCACTGGCTTGCCGCCACTGCTGTCGAGCCTTTGCTCCAAGTCTATCCTGTTGCTGAAGCATCCTTCGCCCATACTAGGACCTTCTTCTTTGGGACTACAATATAAACACCAGCAGCTCGACAGGGATAGTCCAGCTCTCCAGCGCCAGACTGGAACTTCCAAGATACTTGGTCCCATGGATTGACAACTACAGGACTCTCAGCCTCTTCAGTGCGAGGCAGTGATTACTGGGGCTAACTGGACCACATCCTATGAGACAATCTAAAAAAAATCCCCTTTTAATATGCATATTCGTTCTATCAGTCCAGTTCTTTTAGAGAGCCCTGACTGATACAGACAGCTAATGCTACAAAAATTAATTGTGACCCTCCCTTGAGGGATGTGAGAGACTTGGGAATAGTCTTACTTTCTGTGCATCTTTGAGAAGCCCCACACTCAGGCTCGCAGGCATGCCTTCTTTCTCCATGAGCACCCCTTTTCCTTTAACCTCTATGCTCAAGCCTATACTGAGATGTCTTTAATGAATTCTCCTCTTCGTTATCCCAGCTGCTCTTGAAATTCTTTTCAGTGTCAATGCTGCGAACACTGGTTTGACCTTAATCAAGGAGCAGAAAAATCTAGGGGATCTCCTTAGGCTGTCGAGGGGGAACAGTGTGAAACTATGTCGCTGTCCCTCGCTGTTACACCAGGACTGTCTTTTGGGTTAGAGACAGGAAAGGAGGAGAGTAGTGTTTTCATCATCTATGAAGGGAAAGAGTTACATACTCTTGGATCTTGGTGTCCTTCTTCAGTGCCCACTGGAGGTAGAATCCACACCCTGGGGCAGTATGAAACATTGTTCCTGTCAGCGTTCTTTTCTTTCCTTCTCTGCAGGGCAGAGGTAGAAGGTAATCATGAGACTGAGGGAGATACTTCTTACTCTCAAATTCAAGAGTGCAGGCATAAAAATGACCT